ATTATCTTCTGTGTCTGTGTTAATTGGTTTCCCTTTTCTTTGTTGAAGAGGGTCTGTGCAATCCTTCTGCCTAGTCCACCATCTTGGGACCAAGTAATTTAAACTTCTGATTGTTAAAGTCATCTACTTGGGGTATTTCTGTTGAAGCACTATGAAGTAACCTTTTAGAAAACTTCCCTATCTCAGGTATGTAGAACTCTGCTGTTGGGATTAGTTGGCTTTGACACTCTGCCAGGCTAAAAATGAGCCCTCCTAGAGGCAGAAGGAATCTCACTGGGAGACGGTGACAGTGGAACCATGAGGCATGGGACAGAGGGGCAGGCTTACCTGGCCTACAGAGGCAGAGATCAGGTGGAGAGGCCAAGGGCCAGAGAGGTGTGTCTAAGGGCACAGCAGAGAGAAGACTCTCCTGATCCAAGAACTATGTCCTGGTCATGTTCCTGAACTTGAATTGTTGCTTGTTGCTACCATAATAAACCCCATAATCTGTGAATTCTATGTGGCCACTACAGCGAATTATAGAACTCAGCAAACAGGTCATGGGTATGTGGGAGGTGCAGTTCTTGTCAAGATTGGTAAGAGGGCTGGAAGGTGGTGGCATGTCTGGCCTCATACGAACAGACCTTGGGCTGCTAATAGTGATTTTATCTTCCTGTTGTGTAGTTTGACTGCTAACCAGAAGGCTGGTGTTTCAAACCCACCAGCCACTCCTCGGAAGAAAGGTTGGGCAATCTACTTCCATAGTGATACCATCTTGGTAACCCAAGGAGGGGTCGCTAAGTGTAAGGTCTGATTCGACATCACATAACAACAACAACAACTTGTGTAGTTAGAGGAGGTCAGAAGATGTCCTCCTTGCCCCTTTCATAGCAGTTTAATGAATTTACCATTTGTACCATCTAGGGACTAAGTAAATATATCTCTACCAGAGTCCCTAAGTGGTACAACTAATTAAGAGCTTGATTATTAAAAGAAAGTTTGCCAGTTTGAACACACCCAAGGGTATCTAGTAAGAAAAGACTGGCGATGCTCTGAAATGTCATAGACTTGAAACTCATATGGAGCAGTTTCTCTTCACACATGAGTTTCCTTGAATCAGAATCAGTTCCACTACCACTGACTCAGCTGTTAAAATGTGCAGGCCATGGGAAGCATGCCAAGGGTCAAAATTTCTTTGGTTGGACCAATCTCTTATAGACCTTTTTGTTCTCCTTTATTGTTATTATGAATTGTCTCTGCTTAAATTTTAACCATCTTTATTTAAACTTTCCTCTCAAAATTCCTTCCACTAAATCTCCCCATGTTATAAAAACAGAGGCACAGTTCATTGCAGACACCCCTTAACCGGGTTTGAAAAGCTGACATTGCGCTCACAGTAAATGACGGACAACCTTAGCTCAATGAACCTATGAACAATCTATGGGAGAAAGGAAAACTAAAAATGCAGGAGGCAATTGTTTAAATGAAAACTAAGAGAAGTCTTAAAACCACAAGCAAAGAAGAAAAGTGCTGAGTCAGTGACTGTTGATCTTGAGGTTTTTTACTTTTTTTTTTTTGGTGTTGTCATTGCAGAGTGGCCTGAAATGTGAGGCTAGGAAGATTGTGAATTACCAGAGCTGTGGAAAAGAGTGCGGCCAAAGAGAGCTGAAGGCCTTGGTGAGAAGGGTCCAGGCAGGATAGAAAACATTTATGCTCTGAAGAAAGTTTCAGTATCTCAAAGGCATGATGCCAATGTCAGAGAACAGGGAGAACTGGTAAGATGATGGAGGATTCTGGAGTTCAGCTGATTGATAGGATGTCAGAGAAAGCAAAGAGAAAATAGAAAAGACTATTAGACAAGAATTATGAGAATATAGGATCACTCTGAATTGGGATTGACTAGATGACAAAAAATTTAGTTCAGCAGAGAAAAAAAAAAAAATCATGGCCATCAAGTCAATCCTGACTCATAGCAATCTCCATTGAGTTTTTGAGTCAGTAAATATTTATAGAAATAGATTGCTCCATCTTCCCTTAGTGGAGCAGCTGGTGAGTTTGAGCCACCAACTGGTTAACAGTCAAATGCCTTAAGCGTTATGCTACCAGAGCTTCTTAAGGTGCATCAAAATAGGTTGTAGTAAGACAGAGGGGGAGCTCTGGTGGTGTAGTGCCTAAGACATTTGATTACAGAAGGCTGGCAGTTCAAACCCACTAGCCACTCCTTGGAAGAAAGAATAGGCAATCTACTTCCATAGAGATACCGCCTCAGAAACCCAAGGATGGGTAGCTATGAGTCAGATCCGACTCGAAGGCAGTGAGTTTGGTTTTTGGTTTACATGCCATAACCTATATTAAGCATGTAGTATCTATTCCTTCACTCAGTCCTCTAAGCAGTGCTCTATGAATGACATTAACACAGAAGGGTGACATAGCTTACCCAAAGTCTCGTAAAAGAAAGAACAGACAGCACAGCTTCTGTCAGGAGCCAGGTTCTGCTTTCTCATTGGAATCCTGCTACCTGTTCTTTTTTTTTTCTCTAATGTTATATCTTAATGGTTTGCTCCTACCTGTCTTTGTCTTCTCAAAGAATCTCCTCATTTTAATTATTTGTCTAACCATTAGGCAGATGGTTTTAAAATCCTTTATGCCTTGCCTACTTCCAAAGCTCAAGGTTAAGACTGAGTCCTTAGATAAAGACTCAAAAACTTCCCAAAGCCTTGGTGACTTGAGTCATGAGGCTCCACCTCTCTCTTTAACCTTATCTGCTGCCACCCATCCATCCAGTCCTGCATGCTTGCCTGCCTGGCCTTGGGTAAGTCATTCAGCTCCATCCTGTTCCCTCCTGCCAGGGTCCACTCTATGAATTCTTTGCTCTGGGTGAACAGTCTGGACAGAGGCTCTCTTCCTGCTTGTCAGCTTCTACTAATCCTTCAGTTGTTAACTCAATAATCACAGAGGGCTTGTCCCTTATTTTGTAAACTAATTCAGAATACTTGATTATATTCGTGTAGCACTAGTGAGTTTCCTTCTCCCTGTTATTAGTTTGTGAATATGTATTTGCATGATTCCATGTCAACCACTCGTAAATGATCTCAGGGTTCCTTGAGGGATGGAGTCATATGTGTTTTGCTCCTCCTTTTGCCTTCAGACATGGTTCAGTGTCTGAGACTCACTGGATAAAAAACAAAGGTGTGCTGAGTGAGAAGTAAATGACAGAGGCATTTCCCACCTCCTCTTTAAATTCACCAATGCTTAAATTACTTTTTGCTCAGATGACACTGTCTTGGATTTGTCTACTTCCTGGACGAGTTGTTGGTCACACAAAAGCTATCCTGATTCAGACTGACCTTTGGTGATCAGTGGAGTCCCTGGGTGGTACAGACAATTATTTGCTTGATGGAAACCAAAAGCTGTTTGAGTGCACACAGGGGCTCCTCAGAAGAAAGGTGTGGTATCTTATTTGCAAAATATCAACCTTTGAAAATCCTATGAATGCATTTCTATTATAACACACATGAGGTTGCCATGAGTCAGAGTTATGAACGGCAAATGGAAAAATGATTGTTATGATGAAAAGACACGAACTAATTTGATATCACATTTTTTTTGTTGCTGTTGTTTGTTTATTAGTTTTGTTTTTCTTTTCTTTTGGGGGGAGTGGGGCATCACATTCTCTCTGTCAAATCATCTTACATAGTCTGTATCTGTCTCAGCTACCCAGATCTGACAGATGGACCTATGCTTGAATTATTCATTTTAACTAATGTTGTGGTCTATAGCTTTGCCACCTCCACATATATTTTCCAACAATCATAACTCACGTGTATTCATTATGTAAGCCAAACATTATTTAAATTTAATTTTAAATTTCCAAAACTTTTCATAGGATATAGTCTTATTATTTTATACATATATACCAGACACATACACATTTCATTTCAACAATTCATTCCTTGACCATGAGCTATTTGAAGATGGAAACAAGAAAATAAAAATTGATTATGCTGTGTAAGAAAAAAATGGCATTTTGGTGTCATGGTTAAGGCATTTGGCAATTAACCAAAAGGTCAGTGGTTAGAACCCACTAGCTGCTCCATTATGAAAGATGAGGAACTCTGCTTACATGAAGATTTACAGCCTTGGAAACCAAATAGATATTGGGTTTCTATTCGCTGGATTCCACTTCATGGCATTGAGTTTGGTTTTGGTTTGGTTTAAGAAAAATAAATTCCTGGGATAGTTCAATGAGTAATAGAAAGGAAGAGATCAGCAACACTCTGATTCTAGTGACTATAAACCTCAGAGGTTCTGGGCTCTAAGGATTTCTGTTGGCACTTTGGTTTATCTGCTAACCAAAAAATAGGCAATTTGAAGCCACTAGCTGCTCTGCAAAAGAAAGAGGCAGTGTGTTCTATGAGCCTGAATTGACTAGATGTCCATGGGGTTTGTTTGTTTGTTGGTATTAAGGCCCTACATAAGGTATTCCAGTTAGAAATCCATTATGAGGGTTGTTAGAATGTTAATTTTATACTTGTGGTTTAGGGTATCTGTGTGGTAACTTTTCACAGGAGTGGCTTATTTGGACGCTCGAAGTAAGTGGATAAAAAACTCATCATGTGCTCACTTTTCCTGGCCTTTGGGGTGCCTCCCATCAGTGCCAGACCACAAAGAGAGATAGTGCTGGCAGTCTGGGAAGGCAGTGCTGCTATCAGCCCGGCCAGGCTCTGCCAGGCGGCATGGCTTCAGGCCCACCGGGGGAGCGGCTTCGGGAGGAGGCCAGGTGCCCTGTGTGCCTGGACTTCCTGCAGGACCCGGTCAGCGTCAGCTGTGGCCACAGCTTCTGCTTCAGGTGTATATCTGAGTTCTGTGAGAAGTCCGATAGCGCTCAGGGCGGCGTCTATGCATGTCCCCAGTGCCGGGGCCCCTTCAGCCCTGAGAGCTTCCGGCCCAACCGGCAGCTGGCCAGCCTGGTGGAGAGTGTGCGGCAGCTGGGTCTGGGGGCTGCACCTACGGGCACGCACCTCTGTCTGCGCCATGGTGAGGAGCTGAGCCGATTCTGCGAGGAGGACCAGGTGGCGCTATGTTGGATTTGTGACACGACCCCAGAGCACAGGAGCCATCACACAGTGACCCTGCAGGAGGCTGCCAGGTGTTATCAGGTGAGATCTGCTGTGTCCTGATCGCCAGGCTCGTGGAAAAGCTGATTAGGGATCTGCATATGCTGCTTTGACCGAGGAGCAGGCAGAGCCAGAAATGTTTCATAACTGCCGGAACACAGATCCAAATGATAGCATCCACCTTTCTTTTCCTCTTTCCTCCTCATCTGACAACTCACACTGACAACTCACAAATGAGGCCCTAATGGGAAACTCTTTGCCTTTGTCTGAGGTGTTCACTTCTGGACCCTTGCTCAGGAGCTCAAGCCAGTTCATTCTTTGAGGCTGTCTGCCTCCTCTATGAAGCCTCCCAATCCATCCTTATTCTTCACCCTACTCTCTACCATCCCATGCCTCCGTCCACTTCATTTAATTTCATGCTGGTTAACTTTTCCTGAATTTCTGAGCTAGATCATATAGGGTCACTGAGTTAGAATGAACTCCATGACAAAGTTTTTTTTTTTTTTTCCCCCAATATTAAATAAATATTGATAAACTGTAAGGTGTCCTAGTTACACATTTTTTTAATCATAATCAACTGTGTTTCCCAGCAAAATTAGTCTGCCTAGTCTCTGTTGTCCCCAAACACACCACACCTGCCTTTTTCATTGTTTTGCTTTTACTCACAACATTGCTGTTTGAGTGGTCTTTTTTCCTTCTACAAGTATCAAAGTGCTTTATTCCTTCTACCAAAGAAAATGCCACTTTCACCATCTTGCTAAATGTATAGATGAATTCTACTGTTGTTTTACATACATCATTTATGTGTAGTATCAATCATATTCTAGTCTTATAAGCAATTCGTGCGTAGGACATACTGAATGCTTTGGAAGTTAGAGATTTTCTGTTTTTCCTGTTAAAAATGTCTAATTGTGTGTATCTTTGTGTCCTTTGTAAACAAACATGTTTACTTTGTGCAGGGATCCAAGAAGTGAAAATAGATTTAGGATTCATTGTATTATTTTACCTTTTGAAATATTCACCGTGTTTATTTTCCATTTTAAAAGATGTTAACTTACATGAATTTTTATGTCCCCCAATATATTTTTTTTCTTATTATAAAGTAATAAATATTTTTGAGAAGTTGAAATCTAAGGAAAGATATATGGAATAATGTCATTCCTCAACCTGGTACCAAGAGACATTTTTTCTATTAAACATTTTCATTGAGTTCTACATAATTGTTAAAATATTGTTTACATAATTAATTTTCCCTACAATGCCATCAAATTGAATACAATATACATACTTGAATTGATGTTGCATTTTTGGGTGTTTCATGCCACTGAAACTTCTACAACACTTTATTTTAATATGATCCTATTGATGTAAATATTTATTCACCACCACAACCACCCTCATTTTTAACATTCCCTTTAACTGTATTTTAGGAAATTTAAATAATTTTGGGGTGAATATACCTTTAGTTATTTCTAAGGTTATATCCTGGTGTTATGTTTAGGTTAGCTACTAATGCCAGGCATTTTTATATGCTTTCTAGGAAATACATTAATGGAATTTTTTTTATTTCCTGCAACATCTAGTTGACATTAGATATTAAATGAGGACATCTATAGCGATTTCAGCATGTCTTCCCACACAGGTAAAGCTCCAAACAGCTCTTGGGCTTGTGAGGAAAGAGATGGAGGAAGCCTTGACTCAGGAGACCAATGTGGGGAAGAAGACTGTCATTTGGAAGGTAAAACAATTTGGGGGCTGCAAGAGGCTCACCAACGTAAAGGATGTTATTCTTTCTTGATTTTCCCCACTCCAAAGCTATCATCCCATCTATGTAATTGCTCAAGAAGAACATTAAATCACTGCCTTCCGGTTAATTCCTACTCATAGTGATCCCTCTTTGGGTTTCTGAGGTGATTTCTCTATGGAAGTAGATTGACTAGTCTTCCTTCCAAGAAGAAGAACATTGGTGTCATCCAATTCATCCCAGTCCTCTCGAATTATATGGTGTGTCTGTATTCCTTTTAGCTCTAGCGCCACTACCACAATCCAAATTGTAAATAATTAGGTTTTTGGTCTTGATATTACTGTAAAATTCACTACTGTAACCTTAACACCTAGAATAAGGCCTGATATTGTCACTACCGGTTTCAAATATATTCATTAGATATATGAAACAATAAACATTTTACAACATTATGACAGACCATATACAGCTAGTAGTGGCAATCTTACATATGCATAGATAATCTGAACATTCAACATCTTTTTCTACCAACATGTCATGGAAATAAATATTTCCTCTTTCTACATAGTTGTCAACTCATTCTGTCTTTTCTACTTGTTTGTAGACACATTCACACATATAATGTAGTTTTAAAGAACAAACTGAACCTATTGTTGCTGAATGAATTCCAACTAACAGTAACCCTATAGCTTAATTTAGGGTGATTTTACTTAGAAAGATGGAGGTTCAAACACCAGCCACTCTGCAGGATGAAGATGGGACGATCTACTTCTGCAAAGATTTACCACCTCAGAAACCCAGTGGGGATTGCTTTGAGTTGGAATCAATTCAGTGACGGTGGGTTTGGTTTTTGGTTTGCTCTCCTACCCACCCTGGAAATATTTTACAATGTTTAAATATAATTTTGGTTGTCATAACTAGGGCTTAGGTAGAATCCAAGAATGCTGAACATCCTACGATGCACAAGACCATCTCCCATGGCTAAAATGTCAATAGTGTTGATGTTAAATATATATATATATATATATACACACACACATACTCAATGTGGTAGTTAAGGATATGTGTCAACTTGGCTGGACCTGCTTTCGAGTGGCTGGGCAGCTGCATGCAATTGTTACCCATGATGAGATTGGTAATCTACTCTATGGTGGAATCTACTACAGCAGCTGAATAGTTCTAGCTCACTTCCTTAAAGCTGTGATCTGCTTCCAGTTTATAAGAAGAAGCTTTGAGAAAGGTCTCTGAAGATTTTAGTGTGCTTGAATCCTGTATGTAGCTGAGTCATTTTTCAGCAGCCTGCCACAGTGTCTGATAATCTTGAGATGATAATGGATTTATTTTGATTACTTTGTGCTATTCTAACAGAAAATAACACAAATGGGTGGCTTTAACAAACAGGAATTTAATCTCTTACAGTCTTGGAGGCCAGAAGTCCAATTTCAAAGTGCCAAGTTCTAGGGTCTGGGTGAAAGCCCCTTGACCTTGGGCTTCAGGTCTGCCTCTTGCTCCTGGCTCACTGTAGCTAGAGAGATCATCACTTAGGCAGCTGCTGGCTCCTGGGGCTAACAAGCCCAAGGTTGACAAATAAAATGGCACATTCCCAATATTACCAAACAATACAGCAGACCAATAATCAAATCCAGAGACTGTCCCAAGATCAGCAGGAAATATGGCAGGCTATTAAATGAAGACTCGGCTACACACAGGATCCAAGCATGGCAAAAACCTGTAGAAACCTTTGTCAAAACTTCTCCTTATATAACAGAAGCAGACCACATCGTTAAGACAGCTGCTCAGCTGTTCCAGTAGATTTCACCATAGAGCTGATTACCAATCTACATCCAATTACCCAGGCACTCAAAGTAGGGTCAACCAAGTTGACACATAACCTTAAGCACCACAAGTCCTATGGGGTGTGTGGAAATTTATTAGAACTGAAAAATATATATTATGAGAGTTGTTATTAGAGTTCAAAAATAAAATGCATTAAAAAAAAAAAAAAAAACTCACTGCTGTGGAGTTAGAGCACACTTATAATGACCCCTCCTTGGGTTTCTGAGGTGGTATCTTCCTTCTGAGGAGTGGCTGGTGGGTTTGAACCACCAGGCTTCGGTTAGCTGTCAAATGCTTTAGGCACTATGCTACCATATATGTATGTGTGTGTGTGTATATATGTGTTTGTGTGTGTGTGTATGTACATATCAATCACTCATCTGTCAGTTTGTATTGTGGTGGCTTGCATGTTGCTGTGAGGCTGGAGGCTATGCCACAAGTATTCCAAATACCAGCAAGGGTCATCCATAGTGGAGAGGTTTCAGTGGAGCTCTTAGACTAAGACAAACTCAGAAGAAGGAAGGGGCCATCGACTTCTCAAACTATTGGACAATGAAAACCTTATGAAAAGCAGTGAAACACTCTATATCACATGCATACATACATATCTTTCTATCTATCGATCTCTCTATGTGTAGACATATGTGTATATATATATATTTATGTGTGTGTGTGTGTGTGTGTATACACACATATATATTTACATTAAATTTCTAATGTTAACTCTGTAGTAAATGGTTGGAAGGACACTTAGTTCTAGTTTAGCTGGGGCAGAGGGTGTTTGCCTTTACAGTTACCATATTTTAAAATAAGGTTGATGTTATCTAATGTCTAAGCTTTGTCTTACTCAGATTTATAAATCTCTCTCAAATTTTTTTCATTTTTTTCATATTCTTTCAAGTATTTCTCATTCTAGTGCCTATTCTACTTGTAAATAATAATTTTGTTGTGCAGAGACTCTATGCTAGTCAATATGTTCAAGAATTTAATGGATATTTAATTGATACTCCTCCTTTCCTCACACCTTACATTTTGAACAGGAGGAAGCATGTTTAAATGCCTTGCTCCCAGGACTATGGTGGCAATTGAAATCCAGCAGTCTTCTCAAACAACACTGGGTTTCAAAACCCTACCAGGTCATTTCTTATTAGAATAGTCTCTGGTTTGTATGTTCAAATACACCTAATCAATGTTCAGTTGTGCGCAAACTCCGGTGTCCTATAGCTGGACAATTCCTTACCTGTAATCAGGATGCTCAGAGAAGGTGCCTATGTTCAGTGTCACTGAAGCTGGGATTGCTGATGATCTAACCACTATGTCCTTGCAGGAGAAAGTGGAAATGCGGAAGCAGAGCTTCAGGTTAGAATTTGAGAAACATCGCGGCTTTCTGGCCCAAGAAGAACAACTGCAACTGAGGCGGTTGGAAGAGGAGGAAAGAGCAACTTTACAGAAACTGAAGGAGAGCAAGAACAGGCTGGCCCAGCAAAGCAAGGCCCTCAAAGAGTTGGCCAAAGAGCTGGAGGAGAGATGTCAGCGTCCGGCCTTGGGTCTGCTGGAGGTGAGGCTATGTGTAAGGGTAAGAGCACATGAGATCGATACCTCAAGGCAAGCAGTGGTATAAACAGAGCCACAAATACATTTACTCTCTTTAGTAAAAGGTTATTCTCTAATTTACTTGGAAAGCATATTAACCTAACTTCTTGCATCTGAATCAGAAAGGACTCTAGAGAATCCCATAATTCATATCAAAGACAAAAAGCTTAAGTATTTCTACATTAACTTTTGGCACTATAGCAGAATAGGCAGACAAGTTTCATGGACCCTCTACAACAAAGAAGTGAGAAACCAACTGAAACATATACAGAAGATAATCCTGAACCACTGAGCTTTGAAGGGAAGGATAAAGAAGTGGATTAAATACCTACTAGTGGAAGAAACTGAATGAAAATATTGAATAAGTAGACAAACAGAGCTGTGGACTATTGGTTGTCCTGATGGCATGGTCAATTTGAATTTTTATAAGTGGTGCTCTGATTGAGGAAGAAACCTAAGAATCAGCTCTGCTGGCCAAGGACTGCATGTGCAACTGAACTGATGGCTAATGACTAGAAAGGAATAAAGCAAAGAAGGATACAAACAGAGTTATGGACTGTCCTGAGGGTGCAGCCATTTTGAATATTTGCAGGCAATATTCTGATCTGGGCAGCAATTTAAGAATAGGCTCCACTGGCTGAGGACAGAACAGGCTGCACAGACTTCTGACAAATAGAAAGGTACAATATTACAATATTACAATATTCCTCTTATACTACAAACCCTCTTGATGAATGAAGGTTTGTCCATTCCCCACCTCCACTCAAATTCTGAACTGGCAAGTATTTCATCTGGTCTGTGTGCCCTGAAAGAGCCTGTGAGCCCTGCCCAACCCTTCCCAGTTTTGTGTTTGTTTGTTCTTATTCCTTTTTTTCTTCCTCTTCAGTTATTTTTTTCCACATTCCCTTCCTTAGTTCTTGTTTGTTTTTCTTTTTTCCTCTCTTTCCTGTTTATGTATCCCTTCTTTTTTCATTCTTTCAACTCTTTCCATGCCTTGTTTTTCTTTTTCCAGTTTCCTCACTTTTCTCTTTACTCTTATTTTATTCTTGCTGTTTTCCTCATTCCCCCTCCCTAGATATATTTTATTTTTTTTTCTTCTTATTTATTGCCTTTCTTTTCTTTTTGTTTTTCTCTTTGCAATTGTTCCTGTTTATTTATATAATTTCTTTTTTCTTCTCTCTCTTTTTTTTCCAATTTTTTTTTTTTTTTTTTGTCTCATTAAGTGGGAAACAGCAACCATTCTCACATGACCCAACAATACCTACAGCCACATCCACTGAGTGAGGGACACCACTTGCTTCTGCACCAACTGACTGATGATAGACAGTGGCCAATACCTGCTCAATTCACTCTCAACTGCTCTTCATGAACAGTGAAGAGAGACCTGTGCACACACTCTCATTCTCTATCACAACCACAGGAGACAGGTGGTAAGTGCCAGCTAGTGGAGAAAGGAGCATAATACCCTGCTCACACAGATATCAAAAAAAAAGAAAAAAAAAGAGGAAAAAAAAATATATATATATATAATTCTTGGGTGAATCTTACCAACATATAATCAAGAATTTAAATATAAATACAATGAATACACAATGTCTTTGAGACAACAGACCACCATTGTTTACACAAAGAAGCAAGATAGGGTAGTACAAACAAAGGATTAAGATCCAGACCCTGAAAACATTTTGGAGAAAGAAGCAACAATAGAATTCCCTAATAAGGAATTCAAAAGATTTTTTTTAGGTGCATAAAAAGGATTGAGAGACAGATCAAGGAAAACACTGACAAAATTAAGGAAAACACAGACAAAACTGTAGAAAAATTAAGGGAAACAATACAAGAACAAACTGACAAAGTAAATGAAAAATTATAACTAATACAAAAACAACATATTGAAATCCAGAAGATTAATACTAAGATTTCAGAAATACTAAGATAACACATTAGAATCAAACTAATGGAAGACAGGATTAATGAGATTGCAGTCAAATACCTCAATACTACTTTGTTAAGGCATCTGTCAAAAGAAAAGATAAGTCAAAAATGAAGACAACCTGAGATTGATGTTGGATACTAACAAGAGGAATAACCTATGTGTAATCAGAATTCCAGAACAAGAAGAAACAGATAAAATGACAAAGAAAATTGTAGATTTGTTGGAAGATAATTTCCCTTACATGATGAAACTTGAAAAGATATACATTCAAAAATTTCAATGAATCCCAAAAGAAAATCACCAAGACATATCATAATAAAAATCACTAAGACCAAAGAAAAAGAAAAATCTTGAATGCAGCATGTGGCAGGGGAGGTTACCTACAAAGGGTAACCAACAAGAATAAGCTGTAATTTCTTGGCAGAAACCATGCAGAAAAAGGCGATGGGAAGACTAAGTTCTAATTTCTTGGCAGAAACCATGCAAGTGAGAAGAAGGCAATGGGATGGGGAAAAGAAAAAAATTACCAACCAAGAGTTATATACTCAGCAAAATGATCCCTCAATTATGATAGTGAAATTAGGATGTTTCCAAATAAACAGAAATTCAGGGGATTTGTTAACACCAGACCCACCTTATGAGAGATGGTAGAGTCCTTTGAACAGAGAACCAACAACAGTAAACACCAACTGATAATTAACACATGTGACAATATAACTTAGAAACCCACCCAGTTATAGAATTATTCCAATAAATAAGCTTACAAGACTGTAAACAGGAAACCAGAGACATAAATTGGTAAATGAGGACAAGTGAAAAGCTAACAAAGGGACTAGATAGTGTAGGTGCAGAACTACTAAATGGTGAGGAAGTTAAGAAAATGATGAGATAGAACAGATTGTTCTAAACTTGGAAATAAAATGATAAATCACAAAGAAAAATGATAAACCTTAGCATCGAAATAAAAAATAGGAGAGGCACACATATTTAGGAAATCTCAAAACAATAACAATGAAATAAATAGCAAAATTTGTAAAGAATATGAGCTCAGAACAACAACAAAAATTATATGAAACAAATAAATCAGCAACACCAAAAGAAAAAGAAAAAAAAAAAAAACAAGAAACACAAAACACATAACAAGATGATATAAAAAATTCATACTAGTTGATAATTACAGTGAATGTAAATGGATTAAATGCACCACTCAAGAGTAGGAGAGTTGCAGACTGGATAAGAAAACATGAGCCATCAATATGCTGTCTACAAGAGATTCACCTTAGACACAAAGACAAAAATTAATAAAATTCAAAGGGTGGAAAAATATATATCAAGCAAATGGCAATCAAAAAAGAGCAGGAGTGGCAGTATTAATTTCTGATAAAATAGATGTCAAGACAAAACTCACCAGAAGAGACAAGGAAGCTCATTATATAATGATCAAAGGATAAATTGAATAAGAGGGTGTAACCATAATAAATATCAATGTAACCAATGAAAGAGCCCTAAAATATATAAATCAGATGTTAACAGAATTGAAAAGAGAAATAGTTGAATCCACAGTATTACTAGGTGACTAACATTAGCAGGTGAATTTAATACACTTTCAAAAAAAGGATACAACTGGAAAGAAACTCAGCAAAGATGCAGAAGAACTAAAATATACATTCAACCACCTTGACCTTAAACACATCTATAGAACAGTTCACCCAACAACAGAACAATACACATTCTTTTCCAGTGCACTTGAAACATTTTCCATGATGAATTATATGTTAGGAAAGAAAGGAAGCCTCAATAAATTAAATAAGTAAGTAAGTAAGTAAATAAATAAATAAATAAATAAAATACTGCAAAATATCTTCTCAGATCACAATGCTATAAAATTGGAAACCAACCATAGGGAGACCAATGGAAAAAGAAACACATGGAAACTGAACAATACCCTTCTTATAAATGATGAGTAATAGAAGAAATGAAAAAGAAATTAAAAGATTATATGAATCAAACAAGAATAAAAACACAACATAACAAAATCTTTGGACACAGCAAGAACATTGATCTCAGGGCAATTTGTAGCTATACACCAAATAACCAGAAAGAGCCAAAATCTACACCTTGACTCAACATCTCCAGCAATCAGAAAAAGAACCACAAAGAAGACCTAATAAACATTTGAGCAGAAGTAAATGAAACAGAAAATAAAAAGACAATAGAAAAAATCAACATGATGAGAAATTGGTTCTATGAAAAGACTAATAAAACCAAGAAACCACTGGCAAAATTAACAAAGGAAAAGAAGGAAAAGATGTAAATAACATGAATAAAAATGAAATGGGTGACATCACAACAAAAGCAACTGAAATCAAAAGGATAATATTAGGATACTATGAAGAATGGTCCTCCAACAAATTTAAAAACCTAGAAGAAATGGACAGATTTTTAGAAACACACTACTAGCCTAAACTATCACAGACTGAGGTGGAATATTTGAATGGACTCATAACAAAAGAAGAAATTAAACAGGTCATAAAAACTTACCAACAACAAAATAAGTCCTGGACCAGCCAGTTTCACTGGAGAATTCTACCAAACATTCAGAAAAGAGCAGACACTAGTCCTACTCAGACAATTCCAGAACATATAAAAGGATGGAATCCTCCCAAATTCATTTTATGAAGCACACATAGTCCTGATAGCAAAACCAGGCAAAGATATTACTAAAAAGAAAATTACAAACCAATATATCCCATGAATATCAATGCAAAAATCTTCAAAAAAAAATTCTAGGCAATAGACTCCAACAACATACCAAAAAAATAATGCATCATGACCAAGTGGGATTCATACCAGGTATGCAAGAATGATTCAACATTCTTGAATGAAAGCAACACAATCCATCACATAAGTGAAATAAAGGAAAAGAATCACATGATCATATCAATAGATGAAGAAAATGCATTTGATAAAATCCAACTCTCATTCCTGATTAAACCTCTTAGAAAAATAGTAATACAAGGGAAATTCCTGAACATAATAAAGGGCAGATATGCAAAATCTACCGCTAACATTATTGACAATGGGGAAAGACTGCAACCATTTCTCTTGGGTACAAGAACCAGGCAAGGATGTCCTCTATCACCACTTCTATTCAACATTATATTGGAAGTCCTAGCCAGGGCAATAAGGCAAGAAAGGGAAATAAAACGCATCCAGATAGGTACAGAAAAAGTAAAACTATCTCTATTTGCAAATTATATGATCCTATACATAGAAAACCTGAAAGACTCATCAAAAAACTACTGGAGCATATTGAAATATTTAGCATAGTGACAGTATTCAATATCAACATACAAAACTCAGTTGGATTCCTCTATACCAGCAAAAAGATCTCTTAAAAGGAAATAAAGAAATCAATACCAGTTAAAATAGCTACCAAGAAGTTAAAATACTTGGGAATAAATCTAACCAGGACCACAAATGACCTATCGGAGCTCTGGTGGCAAAGCACCTATGACATTTGACTGCTAACCAGAAGGCTGGCAGTTCAAATCCACCAGCCACTCCTTGGAAGGAAGACTGGTGAATCTACTTCCATAGATATATCACCTCAGAAACCCAAGGAGGGGTAACTATGAGTTGGAACCAAAAGACCTGTATACAAAAAAAAAAAAAAACCTACAAAATACTAATTCAAGAAATTATAAGAGATCTACATAAATGGAAGAACATACCAAATAACAGACAGAAGGGAATATTTGCTTTTATTCTTTCATGAAGATGTTAAATCCCAATTTATTTGTGAAATCTGTATGTGTTGATGGTGTATGTTACCATGAATGAAACAACCACAACTGAAATTCATCTAGACATGCTATTTCACCCCCATTGTGTCATTCAGTACATTTTAAACTAAGTAACTCATAATCTCATTTAACAACTGACGCACAGACATTACATTGCCTACTTAATTCTTGACACTGAATGCACCTTAATATAAAAATCATCTACATAAACTGTACATTATAAAAACAGTGACAAAACAAAAGCCAAAAAGGCCAAACATGTTCTGCATTTCTCAAATCGAAAGACCTGGAGAAAAAAATGAGAGACTTGAGTTCCAATATTGAAAATATTCTGTGGGCAAAATATTGAATGATGCAGGAAACATCAAGAGAAGATGAAAGGCATACATAGTCACTGCACCAAAAAAAAAAAAAAAAAAGGTCAATGTTCAGCTATTTCAGAGGGTGTCATATCATCAAGAATCAATGTAACTGAAGAAAGAAGTTGAAGCTTCAGTGAAGGATTTGGTGAAAAACAAGGCTCCAGGAATTGACAAAATACCCACTGAGTTGTTTCAACAAATGGATCCCATTCTGGAGGCACTAATTCATCTATGCCAAGAAATTTGAAAGGCAACCACCTGACCAAATATGGAAGAGATCCATATTTGCACCCATTCCAAAGAAAGGTAATTTAACAGATTGTGGAAATTACTGAAAAATATAATTAATATCACACACAAGTAAAATTTTGCTGAGGATAATTTAAAAACAGTTTCAACAGTATATTGACAGGGAACTTCCAGAAATGCAAGCTGGATTCACAAGGTGATGTGGAGTGAGAAGTGTCATAGTTGATGTCAAATGGATCTTGGGTGAAAGCAAAGAATACCAGAAAGATGTAGATCTGTGTTTTATTGACTATGAAAAGGCATTAGATTGTGTGGATCATAACAAATTTTGGAGAACATAAAAAGAATGGGAATTCCAAGACACTTAATTGTAGTCATGAGGAAACTGTACATAGATCAAGGAGGCTGTCATTTGAACAGAACAAAAAAATCAGGAAGGGAATGTGTCACGGTTCTATCCTTTCACCATACCTATTCAATCTGTAAACTGAGCAAATAATCTGAGTAGCTGGACTATATTAAGAAAAGCATGCCATCAGTATTAGAGGAAGACCTGAGATATGCAGATGACACAAACTTACTTGCTGAAAGTGAAGATGGCTTGAAGCACTTACTGATGAAGATTAAAGACTACAGTCTGCAGTACGGATTACACCTCAACATAGAGAAAATGAAAATTCTCATAACTGGACCAATAGTCAGCATCATGATGAATAGAGAAAAGATTGAAGTTGTCAAAGATTTCATATGATGTGATTCCACAATCAAGACCAATGTAAACTCCAGTCAAGAAATCAGACAGCCTATTGCACTTGACAAATCTGCTGCAAAAGACCTCTTTAAAATGCTGAAGAGCCAAGATATGTCTTTGAAGACTAAGGTGCACCTAATGTAATCCATGGTGTCTCCAAAAGCCTCATATGCATGTGAAAGTTGGACAATAAATAAAGATGACTGAAAAATAGTTTATGCCTTTGAGTTGTGGTGTTGGTGAAAATACTGAAAGTACCATAGACTGCCAGAAAAACTAACAAATCTGTTCAGGAATAAGTGCAGCCAGAATTCTTCTTGGAAGCAGGAATTGCCAGACTTTGTCTCACGTATTTTGGTCATATCAGAAGGGACCATTCTCTGAAGAAGGATATTGTACTTGGTAAAGCGGAGGGTCAGCAAAAGATTGGAAGGCCCTAAAGAGATGCAATGACACAGTAGCTGCAACAATGAGGTCAGGTATAGCAAGGATTGTGAGACTGGTGCAGGACTGGACAGTGTTTTGTTCTGATATAAATAGTGTTGCTATGAGTTGGAACCAACTTGATGGCACCTAACAACAACACAAAACAACAAATGGAACAGAGTGAGCAATCATAAATGAATGACTTTACAAAACATTTTAATTTATTTGTCCCAGGTTGTCTTCAAAATAGCTATGTATAGTAAGATTTATGTCCCTGTTATTTTATTAATACTATTATTAGTAGTATTGCTAAGTTCATTTTTACATTCATATACTAAGGATCAGAAAGTAATTTTCAAAATATCACATGATAAATATGCACAGGAAATTAGACTTTTTCAGTAATAACATAAATCACTTTACCTCCCCAAGTCTCAAATGACAACTTCTTTAAAATAAGCAATTATTATCAATAATTAAATGTTTAAAACAAACAAACAAACAAAAATCTTAGGAAGGACGTTTTCTTTAGTGTTTATATTTATGTTTATGCTCTGATTCCACTTTTTTCCCCTGGACCAATAAGTTGCAATTTATTCCTATTGGTAAAGATCAAAGCCTGCTGTTTATATAAAGGGTAAGGCTGACTATTTCCCTTGCTCTTGTGCACCATCAAAGTTTGTCTAATTGGTATTTTCTTTTTCTTTCTTTCTTTTCTTTTCTTTTTTTTTTTTTAAAGTGCTGACTGTGGTTTATTGAATTATCTACTTTAAGATAAAATGACTTTCTTTTTTATCCATTTAGGGAACTAACTCACATATGAATCCATACCTTATGGTTTGTTAGTTCTAAGATTTTAGGGATTTGGGGTTCTCTTATAGAGGCATTGGAGTGGGTATGCTTTATGCCTGTGTGTTGGACTATGCTCAAATAATTATGCAAATATTTGTTGTTGTTCTTGTTATGTGCCATCGAGTTGGACCCAACTCATAGTGACCCCTCCTTGGGTTTCTGAGGCAGTATCACTACGGAAGTAGATTACCTAACATTCCTTCTGCATCTGAATTAGATGCAAAATACTATTATTATGTATATTTAATAATAAAACTTCAATATTCCAAATGGAACATATATTGCATGGGTAGGTGATATAGGAATTAACCTAAATTTTGTGTGTCTGGGTTTATGGAAAAAGAAGGGAAATTATCAAACTTTCAAAAGTCATAAAAATTAAGTGAGAGCATCTTTTTCTAACAATAAAAATCATTACGCCCCAAAGTTTTATCTTAATAGTTAAAAAAAAATCTAAAGAGATTTTCATGTTGAATATCCCTAATATGACTTCAAAAAGATATTCAAAGGAAAACAGACAGCTATTCCTCAAACAGTTAAACATAGAAATACTGTAACTCCTGGAAATTTCCACTCCTAGATTTATGCACAAAATAATTGAAGGTAGGGACTCAAATAGATACGTGTAGACCACATGTATTGCAGCATTATTCAATATAGCCAAAAGACGGAAACACATCAAGGGTCCATCAACAGAGGAATGGATAAACACAATGTGGTGTATCTGGAAAATGGGATATTATTTATCTATAAAGAAAAATGAAGTTCTGATACATGCTACAACATAAATGAAACTTGTAAACTTTATACTGAGTAAAAATATCGTACACTCTTACTTTTAAGAAATATCTGTAATAGTCAAATACATAGAAATCAAAGTTTATTAGTGGTTACCAAGAGCAGGAACAGCGGTGCTGAGTTTCTGTTATGGTTGATGGAAAAGTTAAGGTTGATGGAAAAATTTGAAGATAGATAGTGATCATGGTCCGTAACATTGTGATTGTAATTAATTTCACTGAATTGAGCACAAGAAATTGATTGAAATGGCAAATGTTTTGTTATATACATATTTCACCACAATTTAAAAAAAAAAAAAAAGAGTTTAAAAGTCTAATTTGTGCCTGCTTGTGTTTTTCTTTCATTTTCAGGGTGTGAGAGGAATCTTGAGCAGGTATGTTTTCTTTATAAGCTACTAAAGGGATAAGAGTGGCTGAGGAAGTTTGTGGGAGATCCAAGGCATGTTGTTGTTGTTAGGTGCCGTCGAGTCATTTCCGACTCATAGCGACCCCATGCACAGCAGAATGAAACACTGCCCAATCCCACACCAGCTCCATGATCCCTGCTGTACTTGAGCCCATCATCGCAGCCACTGTGTCAATTCATCTCGTTGAAGGCCTCCCCCTCTTTCGTCGACCCTCCACCCTACCAAGCATGACAAGCTTCTCCAAGGAATGATCCTTTCTGATAATATAACCAAAATAGGTGAGACAAAGTCTGGCCATTCTCTCTTCCAAGGAGCATTTTGGGTGCACGTCTTCCAGGACAGATCTGTTAGTTCTTTTAGCAGTCCGTGGTACTTTCAGCATTCTTCACCAGCACCACAACTCTAAAGCATCAACTCTTCTTCGGTCTTCCTTACTCATTATCCAGCTCTCACATGCATACGAGGCAATTGGAAATATCACAGCTTCTGTCAGGCACACCTTAGTCCTCAAGGAGACATCCTTGCTCCTCAGCACTTGAAAGAGTTCCTTCACGGTTGACTTTCCCAATGCTATACATTGTCTAATGTCCTGACTGCTGCTTCCATTGACATCCATTGTAGAAACAAGCAACGTGAATTCTTTGACAACCTTAATGTTCTCTCCATTTATTGTGATGCTGCTCATTAGTCCAGTTGTGACGATTTTTGTTTTCTTTATATTGAGATGTAATCCATACTGCAAACTGCATTCTTCAACAATTCATCAGTAAGTGCCTCAAGTCATCCTCACTTTCAGCAAGCAAAGTTGTATCGTCTGTGTACCTCAGGTTGTTAATGATTCTTCCTCCAATCCTGATGCCACATTTTTCTTCATATAGTCCAGCTTCTCGGACTATTTGCTCAGTATATAGATT